CCGGCGGGGGTGGGAGTGGGGGTGTTGCTTTCGTTTTGCTGGATGGCGAGAGGGCCCAAGAGCTCCCAGCCGCGTGCAGAAGCCGCGGGGGAACGCAGGCAGCGTGGCGGTCGCGGACCCCGTTTCGGGGAGGAAGGCTGACCCTTGTCCCCCGTCTCTCAGCCTCCCCTCAGCTTAAGAGACGAGTGGAGTTCTCCATCTCCCCAGCGGTCCCTGCAGCTCCTCCATCAGTTAGATGCGATTTGTGCTTTGGTGTCACGCTACATTATTTGACATTTTTTAGCAGCAGTTCCCTTAATGGAGACCAACGTCATCAGCATCCGTCTGAAATCTAGCCATGAAGCGTAAACACAACGTAGTGACCTCAGAGTTGTTGGGGTTTTTTTCCCCCTATGGTTAAGTGTTCATTTCCTCACTAACTCATTAACAAGATGAAGTGCATTCATCCAGAAAGAAGTTCACCCCTGCCAGGTACCCTTCCCTTTTAGCAGTCTTTTAGGTGTAATTTGTCCCAGCTGTATGTAGAGCATTTGCATAGACCGGTGTAATTTCTTTTCTGGTTACACATTAAAGAACAATTTTCTTCCATCTCCCTGGGGACTTTGCAGGAAAAACAGAAGGGAATTGTAATGGTCTGAACAAGTGACGCAGACTTAAATCTTTTACAGACTTATAAGCAGTTTGCTCCAGCACAGAGCTAGGACAAACTTCCAGGGTTTGTTTTTTTTTTTTTTTCTTTTTCCTAAAATATTGTAAGATATTAAAATGGTTGGCGATAGAAAATCAAACTTTTCATGAAACAGTGACGAGATTTGTACTGTCTGGCATGCATGCCAGATTGTTTCTCCGTCTCAGCTAACTTGGGCAAGGAACGAAACAGACAAAACCTGTTAAATATCGGTGTGCCCAGCGCTCACCTACATGCACTCATAGAAAGCCACGAACACACTTATCCCAGTAAAAGGAAAACCTAGGCTTAAAAACCAGCTAAGAATAGCAAGAGTAAATAGTTGGCTTAAGAGGCCTAAAGCTGTCAGTTGTGCAGCACTGTGTGCTGCTCCATAGAAAAATCCATTTTGGAAAAAAAAATATTTCTAAGTGCCAGCTCTACGCCCCTCTGCAGCATCAGCTGGCTGCCGCCTTCAGCTTGGACACGCAGCTCGTGGCTTAACATAGCTGTCTCTCAGGAGGCGCAGCTGAGAGAGGTGCTGTTAGGGTATAGCTGCCACGGCATCCACCTGTGAATGCTCCAAAGTACCTGGGATTTGTTCGAGCTATGTCTTGCCTGAAGCTTCCCTTGTCACATGCTTCAGCTTCCCTTTCCAGCTTCCTTCTCGCCAGTGCTCCCTTGGCCAGGCCCGTGTCAGTGCCGCCTGATGGTTTAGCGTTCCAGCCAAATCCGAATTTGCCTCTTTCTGCCCTCTCTAACCTGTGTTAAAATCTTAGGATTTAATAGGTGATTTCCGTGTGCAGACAGCCTGAAAGTTAATGTGTATCTGGTTGCTGACTCATTAAGGGAAGAGAGATGAAACACGCAGAGTACAAACACTGCAGATCAACCCCCGTGTCAGTGAGTCCTTCCCGCTTCCCGGCTCTCTGCTCTCATCTCGGGGTGTTTATTCAGCACTTCAGTGCAATCTAGGGAATAGCCTATGCCCCTCTATGTGTGCTCTTGCTGGGAATAAGCTCTGGGGCAATGAATCACATGGCGATCACTTACTTGAAACCTCTTGAGGTATTTTTTTAACAAACACTGTCCGTATGCCTTTTCTTCCTCCTTAAGCTCTTTCTGGACCTCTTCCCCGAGCCACTTATGGAGAGCTCTCTACTACCCTTTCCCCTCCGTGGGCTTCGGCAGGAAAATATTGTCTTCTCCTCCTTGCAAGTCACTGATACCGGACAGCCTCTACCTCCTCCGCAAGCCCCTCCTCTGTCTGGGATGCAGACAGCTCTGGTAGGACTTGAGCCGCGAAACACAGAGGCCTCCTGCACTCTGTGTTGGACTGGTTGGGGTGAACTCATGCCATTCCTGTTAGCCGAACAAGAGTTAGGGTAATCCTAAGCAGAGCAAGCAAGGTCTAGGTCTGAGCCATGATCAACTGCAAAAAAGGGGGTAACATCTAACTGGAAGGCACTTTCTGTTACGGACTGTGCAGAAGGGGAAACACGCTGCTGCAAGGGTTCAGAAAGCTTCAGAAAGCGTGAACTTCCCCCAAATATCTTGGAAAACAGTATTGGGAACTAGAGAAGGCTCTACTTAGAGTATGCATTCAACATATTTCCGCAGAAGTAATGCCTCCCCTGCTTCGCCCCCAAGTAGGCAGCAGCTCCGTGGGGACGAGGGGCGAGCTCCAGACAGCTCCGACTGGAAGCAGCCTAAGTTTGATTCTCTTCCTCCAGACTTTCTGGTCATGGCATTTTGCACATATTTATGATACTCAGACAAGGCTATGTGCTGATGGCAAACCCCTACCGCTTAGGGATATTTATGATATTTCCTTCCTTTAGGGGGGCATTATGAACTTGCCCATAACACGAACCTCCAGGTTTTTCTGCAGGTCATGGCATCTCCAAGCTGCCGGCATGACTGCAACTACCTCCCTCCGCTTGTACCCACATGAGACTGCGCGGCAATTACAGCAGAAGTTTATACTGAAAGCTGCGCTAAGCAAGTATGAAGGCATTTTAACCGTCCCTGTTTAAACTCACGAATCAGCAGCAGAAGCAAGTGCCGTGTTCTTGCTCCCATCTGCAGGTGAGCAACAGGATTATAACCACAGCCCAAAGAACATAAACAATTTAAAAAGAGAGCAAAGATTGTCTGCTGGGACAAAGGCAACAGCATCCAACCCAGTAACAGTAGGAAACCTACGTGCAGAATGGGCAAGAGCTTCACCCTTCAGTTTTTCAAGTCCATTATTAACAGTCGGGAACCATTTCCCTATTTATCATCATTTATTACTACTACTAAGGCCAGATATAGTTCAACGCATAGATAGAAGCAGTGCCCATGCAGCTATGATCTGCAGCACAGGAGCTTCCTATAGCTCATCACCAGCTCGGTGAGATGCCAAAATTTAGAGCACAGGTCTACGAACTTACCAACACTTCTCTTTGAGTGGTTAGTTCTGCTCTGTTTTTCTTGCTCAGTGAACTGGTCTCTGTTCTTACTTGCCTTTCTGTCATGTCGCCTCTGCATCTCCTCTCCAGAGTATCCCCCTAGCTGACTTTCTCCCCCCTGCCTTCTTTTGCTGGGGGCAGAAAATGAGTCTCTACAGACTCAGCTTGTCTTCGCAGATCAACAAGCTGTGAAAGGATCTGGCTTCCTGTTTCATTTCCGTTAAAGTTTTCAAAGTCACACAGGCTGCGTACGTGTCTCCATATCCAAGCCACAAGAAAAAAAATCGAGCATAACTCAGCTGTTTATAAAGGTCACATTGCTACCTCCCTCCACATCTTCCAAGTTGTTTGAGGGCTGGAGATTGCAGGGTGATCTTCAAACTGCGATGTACCACCCATACGTGGTCTCTGTCTTAGTGGTAGTCCTCGGAAAGTCACAGCCTCTTCTTTTCGACTCCAATGCCATGTTTGACTGCTAAGCATTTAACATTACTTATCAGGCAATCAATGTACTTTCTGTCGAAATGCTGTGACCATGAAGAGGAAACAGGTGGTCCGCACAAGCACCCCTTCTCTATTAAGGTACGGACTAAGTGCTATGTAAAAACAAAGCTTACACAGATGTGATTAAATCACTTCATAGATACAGGATTTTTAATAAGACTAAGCAAAGGGCCCTTCGAGAGATTCTTTCCTTTCCCCTCCTCACTCATCGATTTAAGTTAAATGAGACCAGTGGTTTCTCTACAGTCTAAGGCTACTAATTGCTTCTTAATTACACTGTAGGAAGATATATCCCGATGCTGTGGCTTACGAGTTCACTAAATCCAGTCTCCCACTCTGAAAATACCCACAAGTTCTTATTTCAGAGGCGGAAGCAAGCATTTGCCCTGCCAGATTCCTATTCTGTTGACTGTTGCTCCACATTACAGATGGATTTAAAAAAAAATTGCTGGAGCTCGAATGGTCACTGACTCACATTTTCCCTTTCACTGGAATGTTGATTTCCCTGTCTACATCTTTTATTACACTATTTTTTAAAATTATTTTTAAAATGCTATTTCTCCATTATCATCCTTGGATCAGGAGCATTTGCTTAAAACAATAAAGGAAATTTGGAAAAATGGGGCTGGGGGATAACCTAAATATTGTTTGTTGGCATCTCAGGAGCTGAAGGTGAAATATGCTCTCCCTGCTCCAGCCCAAGGCGTGGGGCCCGTGACTGCAAGCCTGCAAACGCTTCTTATTTCACCATGTACTGTGGAGGAAGGAGGAAAGGAACAATAAACAATTTTCTGTCTTTAAGCGTTCACTTGCTGCCTTTGGATGCTCTCATGTTACTCATGCTCCATGCCAGTAAGCATCCAAAGGCAGCAAGTGAACGCTTAAAGACAGAAAATATTTGTATTTGCACATATTTATATGTATATATGCATGTATTTCTTTGTGTTCAGTTTCCATTAGTAGAACAAGATAATTCTGAGAGGGGGAAAAGCTGCAGGCTACAGGACCAGCGCATCTCCAAGGGGAGATTTGGAAAGAAAACTAGTAGGAGAGAAGAAAGAAACACTGCACGTGCCCTCTTTTGCTTCACTTGCTCAGCGCTGCTTTTTTAAATAAAGCAAAAAAGCAAGCTGTTGAGTTTAAATTATACAGTGAAAATTAACTGTCTTCACTGCACTGAATTCCCTTTCATATCTTAAATTCCTCTATCGTACTTCTTAATCCATTTTGTCCAGCCAGAAACAGTTCTGGATGTTTAGCACTGCCTACTCATCCTCTTTTCTTGGAGTTTCCACGCTCTCCAGCCCATATACCATATTTCTCAAACAAAGAATAGATGGTTCACCTGGATAAGTCTTTCATAACTCTTTAGGCTTTATCCAAGCAGGAAAAGCATGGATTATCTCACTTTCCTGCCATGCTGGGGCATGAATATTTACCTGAGCTCTGCATTTCTTCCATAGACCTGTGAGTATCTTTAGAGCATGATGAAAATGCTGGGACATCTGAACACTCTGTGTGGCAGGGATCTAGGAACTTGGAGTAGTTTTGGAAAGTGGTGTTGTCTTTGCTCCAACAGGATCAGGCTATAGGCAAAAAAGGGCTCCAAAAGGGAAAAGAGGACAGACCAAGACCTTCTGCACCCCTTCCTTGCAGGAAAGCCTCAGCTAAGCTTTGGAACTGGACTAGTCACAAAAAATACAGCATAAATTCCACACACCCACCCCCCGTGCCTTTTTTTTATTAGAAACAACTGAGAAGTTTATGCACGGTCATGGGGAGAAGAGAAAGACAAACCTAAAATGGAAGATGATGAGTTTGGTGTGCTAGAGGCAGTGACCACCTGGGCTGATATAATCCGCAAAGTAAAACACAGCTATTCTTCGTAAGCAGCTAGTGTTTGCATGCCTGCCTGTTTGCACTCTTTATCACATCCACAAGCTGACGAGGAAATTTCCTTTGTTCACCCCCACGCTTCTGTGGCGGGCGTTATCAGACGGCCTCTCCTACCCGTGACATTCCCTTGTGGTTCTGTGCGATGTAGCGAATGAGGTCTGCATTTGACTTCGCCACAGCTCAACACGCTTGTTTCCCTGCTCGCAAACGATAGGAGAGCTCTTCGTCTTCAGCGGCAGTTTGGAAACCCAAACATCATCCAGCTATCTGAAAGCTTTAACCGCGGATGCTTTAGAGATGCAATGACTGCCTGCGTTTGTCCCCGAGTTGCTGGCAGTGTCATCTCTGCTACTGAGCTCTGGAGCCAACTTCTTCCTTTCTTTCTGCTTTCTCCCTATCGGAAGCAGAGTGGAGTTCCAGAGACAAATATCCCCAACTTCCCATTGCATGTAGTCACTTTTGTTCTGCTGTAACAAGTTGTCCTACCCTCTTGTCTGTTAGCTGGAAGAAAATCATCCTTTTAGGAACAATTACCCTTATCGTTGGCAACTTTCTGCTGCAGCCAAGAGGCGGGGGGCGGGAGAGGGAGAGGTGCTGTCCTATGCAGGTGCACAGCAGGTTCCTTTTCCTTCTGAAGACTAATAATGGGTCTAGCACCAATACAATCTGCTTTCTGGACAGATTAGGATTTTGGAAGCGTCAAGCAAGTTGTTAGTGCAGAGTTGCCTCCTGTGCCTGGGCTTGGGCACAGGAGACCAACATCTTTGGGAAAAGGAATCCCTGTTACAAAATCTGTGACGGGCCTTGCTTTCGGACAATTCTTTGTAAATCAGATACTTCATACTTGGAGTAAGAGTCCATATTATGGCTTCTTTTTTTTTTAGAAATCAAGATGCAAAGACTCAGAATTCAGCTGTTTCTCCTTTAAGCTGTAAGACGTTACTGCCAGAAGAAACAAGACACGGCCTACTGGTAGGCACTTGCGTTTTTTTTTTTTTGTCTAGTGTCAGTGCCTGGCTTTACAACAGTGACTAAATATTTATGTTTCGCTGTCAAAAGTGCATAGCAGCAAATCAAAGTAAGCATTTTAAGACCTGGGTGCTGAGTGACTCACTGAGACTACAGATCCAAAAATCAGAGCACCCCCTTCCCTGGGCTTCTTTTCTGAAGGAAGAGGAGTGAGCCACTTTCTGCCACCTCTGCTAAGAACCGCCGCAGTCATCAGTGATGGCTTATTTTGTACTGAAACAGCAAAACAGGATCACTAAGGGGAAGAAAAGAGCTCATTCTTTTCGGAGGAAGGAGTCACCCCAACCCAAAACATCAAATACCATCAGTGAAAAGAACAAACTTTTTTCAGAGGGAAACTTAGCAACAAGCAGGAAAATGAAACAGATGTAAAAACCAAGGCCAGAAAGAGAAAGCAGTAGCCTGTACACAAAGGAGCAACAGTGCTGACTGATAGAAAAGTCACGGAAAGACAAGGGCTTGAGCATGTACATGCCCCTTTCATAATGCAGCTTATTGATCTAAATGACTTTTAGATTAATAGAAACAGTAACAGAAGATGTTCCTTTCTGAAAGATGCTTTGTGCAGCTGATAGTTTGCTTATTCTGGTTTGCAAAGATAAGCATCCCAGTTCTCTTTGCCATTTTCTTTCCTGCATCTCCTACAGAATCACTGTCCATGCCAACAGCTGAAATTAATACATGTGCTTCTTCATTTAGCAGTTCAAAACAACCTACTGCTAAGCTAATATACGCTATACTTGTCTATATATTTCACAACACAGAAGAAAGGATGACATTAATTTCTTTTAATTAGGGTACAGGACAGGAATTCAGAGGTTGAATTTCTATTTTTGCAGTTGCCAAAATCTTATGCATCTTCAGCAAATCCTTTTACCACCTGTTAAAAAAGGGGAAAGGAAGTAAGAAGCTTTCTCCATCTGCAAAGCGAAGCTTGATGATTGAACTTCAGATATGCTGAAAATACCATGGTGATGGAGACTCTTCAGCTGAGCATACAGCCCCCGCTGTGATGACAAGCAGCACTCTCATCTCCCTTTGCAGTCAGTGACAATAAAGACAGGATTCTACTTGCGAGGGATGTTCAGCACCATCCTCACAAAGGATTCGATGATTTCTTTTTCTGTAATTTTTCATGGATCTTACCCCTTTCGACATTCTACTATTTAGACTGCAAGTATTAGGATTCCTACTTTTCTGGCAAGTAATTGACATACATTTTATTTAAAAAATAGCCCTTGTTGAGAATGTAAAAATGAAATTTCCTGGCTGTTCCCATATGGCTTCTTCTCAAATATATACATACACACACATTTCCCTCGACCCACCTTCCACCACAGAAATTTTGTCTCAGTGGCTTTGGATGTTTATAGGGTTTCCAGAGTTCCCATGGCCCTGCAAGAATTGTCATTCCCTCAGCAGGTCAGTCATGCAGAGATCCCAGATGCCGCCCGTGGGTGTGCACAAAGCAGCCTGTGCAGCATAGCTCAGAAGGTCTGGTCCATCCCCAGCAGGTTGGGCTCCAAGCACATTTGCTACCAGTTACAGGAGTCAGGAGCTGGTGCTTCATTTCAGCTTCTTGCATCCATTTTACAGAAGGAAGGTGT